GAGGGTACGAGCATGAAGTCACAGAAAGTACAAGCATGAAGTCGCAGAGGGTACAAGCATGAAGTCACAGAGATTACGAGCATGAAGTCACAGAGGGTACAAGCTAAGGTGCATCACCACATTAGGGCAAAAAATTAGTTGTTTATTTTTGAGCTGTCTGTGTTTCCAATGTGTTCCAATGTGAATTATAATAACTTGAGTGAAATATTTTCCAAATCTGAGTAAGTTTAGAGGTCCCCCATGAGAATTTTAAATCCAGGAAACCAACCGCAAGTCGATCGACTAGTAAGTTTTTTCATAAAATTCAATACTTATTGTCCTTTAATGAGAATAATGACTATAGTAATAAACCTAAATTGTTTTAATTGTATAATGAAGGCAACTGAACAGATAAAACCAAATTGAGATCACTAAAATCATTGTCTATTCAATTTTTCTACAAAAAGCACAAAATCATTAACCAAAAAATGCAAAAATCATTGACTACTAGTGACTAATAGTCAGTTCTTTTTTAATAAAATTCAATCCTCATTGCAGTTTAAGGTCTAATTAATGACTAATTAACTATAATAATGAATCTTTATTTTTTTAATAGTAGTAGAAAGATGTCAAATGAATCCAAAATTAGATGAACTGTTAATGTTTATTCCTTCTTGCATCGTTTGCGTCGCAAATTTGGTGTCTCTTTCCGATCTTTCTCGACCACTTGAAGAACGTTTTGATAATGCTTATCCGATCGTGCAGTTTCAACAAAGTTCGATGCCAACTTGACACCCCTCTCGGCACAATCATTCACCACGTTCACTGCTGCACAATTTTCAACACTGGCAATGTAAGCAGGTGTATTTTCCCATTTATCGACTGAAAGTTCCAGAAAGCTGGTGTCTAATTGTAGACGGTAAACTGTAAACCAGGAGTCAACTCCAACCAGATCACTCAGTTGTGTTCTACGATCAATGGACAATGGAAAATGTGGCTTGCCCCATCCGTTGCCAAATTGATTCATTGGAGCTTGCAGATCACTTGATGGTTTCAATTTGAGCAAGGCATCTGCAAGAGCTCGTCGTTCCGTTAATGGTACAAGCTTACTGAACAGTGCAAGTGGCACCATTTCCTCAGTGAGATACCACAGGTGCCAATTCAGAGCTCGAATTGCTGACTGCGAAATCACCTTGTCCACAGTCTCGTACTCTAGTAAACGTTTGTAAAGCTGTAAATCATTGTATGAGGAATCAACCGTGTTCCTAGATGTGAGCCACCACACACTGTAAACATGAGTAATAAATGTAGTGAATGCTCGTATCTTCGGCACTTGGTGACAAGTAGTGATAGTTCCTGCTGGTAGTTCCGCAATATGTTTCTCTAGAAGTGCAATTTTCAGGCCGTTGATCAGCTTTGCCATCCAATGAGCCTTGTGAAGAGCACCTGGCCTTTGGAATTTTACTTCAACCTTGGAAGAAGATAAATAAACAAGTGTGAGCTCTGTGTATTCACAGTAGTCATCACGCAGGCAATCTACATCTTCAATTGCACGAGCGATCACCTCATCCTTCATCTTCGACAGCAGCTGTTGGGCCTCCACGTCATGATCGGTTGGACAAAATGGCAGTATCTGAGATGAGTAGTGTGGCACTAAATTCCAGTTACTTCGTAGCCTTGTGAACACTGTGACTTCTGGTGACTTTGATGCTTCTATCTTGAGGTCAGTAAACACGTGAGATAGAAGTACTTCACCAATGTGATGACGACATCCTGACCAGAGGACAGCACGTTCCAGCTTATCTTGAATGGCAATGCAAGCTGCAGTTAGGTGACCTGTATTTGAGCTCGTTGTGTCGAATGTCATATTAACAATTCGATCATTAGGTTCACTGTTAGTTTGGCAATGATTTCTCCAACAGATTGATCTGCACCCTTGAAGTAACTAGGCACTCCCAGTAGCCTCAACTGCAATGCATCACCAACAACCACCGTCATACGTTCTTCAGTGACACGATTATTTGTTAGAGTTGGTGTCAGCTTTCCATCCCAATGCAGAGTACAGAGTTTTGGTGGTTCCCAGCTATTGTGAATTTCTATAGAAATTTCGCATACAACCTTGCGTCGTGCGCGATCTGCAGTACGAAGAAGCAACCATAGATACATCGCCACCAGACTCAGTTATGACTCCTTGTGTGAATGCTGATTGTTGTGTTGGCGTCATCTTCAGACGTGTTGCTAATGACACAAGGTTTGGTCGGCTTAGCAAATCTGGTGGTATGAATGACAATGTTCCTTTCGGTTTTATACGGTTTGGTTTTTGTAGCTCCATTTCTTTTGATGGAGATCTAAATTCTGATTCCATGTCATCTTCAGAAGCAGACTTGCTTGACTCATCACTACATTCGTCAGTTACAACTTCTGGCAACACAGTCTTGGTTGATGCTTTAATCTCACCACGAGCACGCTTCAGGCGTCCTAATGCTGCAACATCACGACAATGACGCCGATTTATCTTCTGAGCAAGCGCCTTGTCAAATACCCCAAAACTTGCGGCTCTATCAGTTTTCATTGACTGCAGGAATGCAAGATCTTCATCATTGTTCATAAGACTATCCACGTTGGCCAGCCAGAGTTGGAAAGTTGTTGCCAACATGGACTGCATCTCAAGAAGCTTGTGCTGAGTTGCAGGTGTTTCACGGCAACTTTTATCGATCGAACGAAGTTTATTGTTATCATCAAGAAGTTTCACTATTTTTTTGCATGCTCTATGCTCGGTGACCATTGGGATGTTGGCTTTTTCATACAAAGATTTAACCTGTTTCAGAACTATCTTGGCAGATGTGAATCTTGATGTTGCACCGAGTGATCCTGGTAGCTTGCCATGGGTAGCCTCTTTACTGTGATACATCATGCATCTCAAAACTTGCAAGCAGGTTGGCAATCGGATACCAGTGATTAGTGCATCATCAGCACAGATTGCAGCACCTATACCAAACAACTCTGTAGCTCTACGAGTCTGTGGCTTCTTTTTTGAGTCTAAGACAAGAGTATTTCGGCGACTTGCACTACCAGATGATGACGAATTATCGTCAAATTTAGGCTGCTTAGGTGTTGTTGGCTCAACTTCAGCTTCAACTGCTTCTTCATGTTTTTTAAGGAATTAGGGTTCTAAAAAAAGAGAATAGTTAGCAAATTATTTCAATATTTTGTGTAATTTATTATTCATTTTTTGGAATATTATTTGAATTATTATTTATTGGATTGCACAACATTACAGATATTTCACATTGCTTAGGTAATGCCTAACATGTCTCATAGGTTTAACTATATATATACAGTATACATTATATAATTATAGTATCTACATAAACAATGAATTATTGATTTACTGCATGTAATATGTATATACACAAAATAATGCAGAAATTAATATATTTAATGGAATTGTAAATTTACCAATTGTCACTGGACTGGGTTAACTAATATATAATTAAATTTTATTTTGATTTTTTGAGCAGACTTGACTATGTTTATAAAATTACATTTTCAATCATGGTAGCCAAAGAACATAAATATAAAGACAAAGCTAATAATTATAAAAAAATTATTTAGCACTTAATTTTGGTAAATAAGGTGAAACTTGTTAGGGCATGGGGGACCTCTAAATATTGTCTAATAAAATTTATTTTTTAACACATTGCATCTTTTGGTGATTGGAACAACTTGAGATAATAGACAGATCAATATTAAAAAAAAATATTTTTGTGATGCACCCTAGTACAAGCATGAAGTCACAGAGGGTACAAGTATGAAGTCACAGAGGGTAAAAGTATGAAGTCACTAATATTGTCATTATATATATGGTATTTATACTTTCAACTGCCTGCAATATTTTTAATTTTTCTAAACTAAAATAGATTACTATTTTTGTTACTATTTAACTATGACCTCAATCTCTTTTCAGAGGAGTACTGTATTTTATATATTCATTCATTTAACCAATTAACAATGTAAATAATTAGCATTTATCATAATAAATCCCTATAAATCTTTTATTTAAAGTTTAATTGATTATATAAATATTTTTTGTTACTTTATGGTGTTTAATATATTTTGTATTTTTTCTTCTATTAAATTCTATATTCTATACTAAAGTATAGTTAAAAAAAAATTATTGAAAATTTATTATCTGTTACCATTTTAATTAGTAGTATGCAACCTATAACTCTTGGCTTCTCAACCCTTTATCTATTATGAAAACCTGGAGATTTTAAAATAGATCATTAGTTTTTTGTATAGTATCGCATTTTATCTGGTCTTGTTAAAGTTGTTAAATATACAATGAGAATGCATTTAAATAAAATGACTGAAAAATTGTGACAAATAGTTAAAAATTTAAAATCTAATAACAAAATATGTAATTAAGAAAACAAAATTGCTTTAAAAGACAATGCAGTGCCAATAATAATAATAATAATTTAACTTTGCAATTAAATAAAAAATCAACTGTTCAAAACATTTTTTATTATCAGATTACTTTTTTTTTTTTTTTTAACTTAGTAAGTAAGAATTGTGAATTTTATGGAGAATCTATGGTTTCATTTAAATCATGAAAAAGTTTGCTTAAGCAATTGGAATATGTTAGAAATATAAACATTTTTTTTTATAAATTCTGTAAGTTATAAATTCTGTAAAGACACTTAATTCAATATGAGTTAAGTTTTAAAATTATTTTTGTAACAGTTTTGCATAATGATAAAAAAGTTTTCAAAAAGATTTACGGAATTAAAAAAAAATAGTTTTTTGTAAAAAAAATAGTTTTTTGTTTAAAATATAAAATTTTTTTTATAAAGTATTCAAGTTTCTTCTTAATCAATTGTTTGCACACACACACACACACACACACACACACACACACACACACACACACACACACATACACACACACACACACACACACACACATGTATATAGTATTATAAGCAGTTTTTTTAATTAATTTTATATATTTTTGTAAGACCTAGTAATGGAGGTAAATATTGTGAAGGTGAAGCCAGAATGTATCGATTGTGTTCAAAAAAGGTTTATATATTTGTATATTTTTTAACTTTTATTTATTTGGTGAAGATTTAAAATTTTAAAATTTTATAAGAGTTAAAGAAATTTAAAAAATTTTTAATTCTAATAATAAGATAATAATATAATGCCCTACTTATAAAATAGACAGTAACTGCAAAATTTCTATTTTGAGATATTCTTAAAAAACAAAAAATATGTTTAGCCAACCAGTCAGCTTAGTACATGTCATAAACTTTTAATATCATCAATTGACTTCAAAAAAGAGTTTTCTTAAGGTTTAAATGATTTTTTAAATTTTTTATTTAATTATCATAATTAAGCACATACAGTCTTTTTGCTATGTACTGAAACTACTAATTAATTTGTTAGCATGTTTTAGGTAAGAAAGAAAATGAATACAGTCTTTTTGCTTTATACCATGAGAGAATATATGTTAATGAAGTAAATTCCAGTCCTAAATTATTTTTCTTTTTTTTTCACTTACTGGTTATTTTGTAAGTAGGGCAGTATAGTAGACAGTATAAAAAGTAATTTTTTTTTATTTTATATTTCTTTTTTTTTTCCTCCAAAAAATTTAGAAACAGCCAAAAAAAAAATTTTCTTATGAATAAATGTGTTTTGTTTAGCCATGTGACACTGGTTTAAAATCTCATAGAAGTGTTCAATGTGCTTCTCTAGATGGTCGTCTTTTTGGAGAAAGAAAGTTTGAATGGGAATTCAAACCATCAAAAATAGGCAATTTATTCTTTTTAAAATGTTTTGAAAAGAAAATATTTTTTTTAATGATATTCATTTGTTAATAATAAGAATCAATAAACTGTTAATGATAATGTATTTTTAATAACAGAGTCATGTAAACTTGGTTGCTTTATTGCTGGAACTGGTCATGGATATGATTTTGGTAATGTTGAAGATGGGACTAATTGCGACCAAATGGATAGTAGTGTTGTTGCTGACAAATGTATTAATGGAGAATGCATTGTTAGTTTCTTATTTTCAAATTTTTATTAGTGTAAAAGTTTTTTACTAAAATGATGTTTGTTTTAATTAAAAATAAAAAAAATGTATTATAAAAATATGGTAAAAAAATGTATACATAGTAAAAAAATATAAATATGGTTAAAAGAAGGTATTAAAAAAAAAGATAATTTAGACTGTAGGATGTGATTCCGTTCTTGGTTCAAAAGCAAAGTTTGATCGATGTGGTGTTTGCAATGGAGATGGAAGCTCATGTGCTACTGGAACAGATCGTTCTGACATTCCAGAAATTAGCACAGGTAGCGGAGGTATTGCTGAGGCATTAAAGTCATTAAAAGAAATGGGTTTTGATATGGGAAGTTTTTATTCAAAGTCTCAATTAAGTCTGGCCGAAAAACGTTCTGATATTCCACAGAAAGATGATACAAATTTTGGGTGGTCTAGAATTAAATCTGGGTGTTCAACATCTTGTGGTGGAGGTAATTTTTCCTCACTTAATACTAAATCATGTGTTTGATTTTCATACAAACTCAATAATCAATTTATTCATAAATTCTTTTTAGGTAAATTTCAAAATAAAAAAAGTTAACAAATTTCATGTTCAATAGAATTATTCAATCTAACTATTCAAAAAGATCTTTGAATAGTTAGATTGAATAAATCTTGAATCTTGTATTTCGTTTTTTGCACTTATATATGTTAAACAAATATTTATTTGAAAAATTATTTAGTCACTCTGTCTTGTTTTTTAAATTGAACAATATATTTAATTTTTGTTTGTTTGTGGTATAAGTTGTGCATAATTTTTGCATAAATAAAAAATAAAATATTAAATATAAAAGTAAGTATAGTTTTAATGTCGCATCAAACATGTCTTCATTGTCAACACAGGTTTTGTTGAGTGAAAAAAGTTTTTAAGTAGAATTTGAATTTATTCAAAAAACAATTTTTTAAAGTGATACAATTGGTTTCCTAACAATTAGATGCATTTTATGTAGAATCTGTAGCTTTAAAAAAGTCTTTAGAAGAACAGAGTCAAATCTCAAATAAAGAATAAAAGAAAGTTTTGACTTCAGATCTGAAGAATATAGTTAATGGGAAAGTAATTCCAACTTCAATTTGTGAAACTTTAGAAAAGTTTGAAAAGAAAAAGTAACTTTTCTTTCAAAGAGAACTTTTTATTGTCAATGTGTTATTGTTTTTAATTAAACCCATTACGTACTGTAAATAGGGCTTTATTTAGAACTACTGCTCACATTAAGTAGAGCTTTTTTATAGACAAGTAAAGATACAAATTAATTTATTTTCTCGAAGTTCAAACAATTCAGATTTTATACCTCAAGTTCATTTTACTTAAAATAATTTAGTAGACTTTTCATTTATTATGAAGCAACATTTATAAAATGTTGTAACTTTTTACTTTTTTTTTATGTTCAACTTTTTATTTTAGGAGTTGAAACTGTGACACCTGAATGTAGAAGATTAGATGATGGATCTCCATCAAATGAGGATCGTTGTGATAAGAAAACAAAACCTCCTGTTCAACAATACTCGTGTAAGGAAGATGCTTGTCCACCTATGTAAGATACATTTGGTTGTAATTCAGCAGTAATATTTTTTTATTCTGCAAAAAAAAAAAAAAAATTAAGTAATTTTTTGTTACATAAAATATTTAAATTATAAATATCTGGCTTTATAGTAAAAAATACACCAGATTTTTTTAGGTTGTTTGAGAATTTTGAGGAATTGTGTTATTTGCTTATAAAGATATATATAGTGCAATATTTGATCATATTCTTTATATTTTGGAGCACACAGAATGTCATAGACAGTAAATTTATACCACATAGTGAGTTTATATCACATAAACATAGTGAGTTTATATCACATAAACTGTGAATTTATACCACATAGTGAGTTTATATCACATAAACATAGTGAGTTTATATCACATAAACATAGTGAGTTTATATTACATAAACATAGTGAGTTTATATCACATAAACTGTGAATTTAGAACATTAATGTAGAGTCGTAGAGCATCTATATTGAAAACTATTTTATTATAATGTTATAGGATATTTTTTAATTATTATCTAATATTTCAAATGTGTGATTTTATCTTGTGAAAATATTCAAGTATTGTTTAAAGTTATTCCTTTTAGTTCTGGAATTAATTAATAGTGAACATTTAAATATTTTACAATACTTCTACTTTTTGAAAGGGAACCAAATTGAATATGTTCTCATACCATCATATGTTATATGTTATATCATATGTTCTCGTATCTTAGCCCTTGTATCTGTGTCTTGACCCATATATCTGTGTCTTATAAAGTTCTTTCTCATATACACATTGTTCAAAGACATGTTGTTCAAAGTTTCTGTATTCTTCAATATCAAAATGTGAATTGATGTCTAATGGTTCATTCAAGCTGCTGGACAGGTTCAAGCTGTCATATTAATAAAAATATCAAAAATTAAAAATGTCTTATAATTGGATCTGCTTAATCTGTCATAGAAACAATTATACTAGGTAAAAACTTTTTAATATTTACATAAAAATACTTTAATAAATATAGGTTCATTATTTTCATTATTAATTTGAGAAGAATAAATACAAAAAAAGTTTAAGAATTGTATACCCTCTGGTGTCTTAATCAGAAGAAATCAGAATAAATACAAAATCACTTTATATTATTTTTTAACTGGAAAAAATACAATTTAATTATGGAAAAATTTAAATGATTATTTTTTTAATATTTCAATGCTTTAATTAAAAAGATTTAAATAATGTTTTAAATTTATTAAATAATATCATGGATCAAGTATGGAATGTTTTTATAAACTGAAAATTGCAAAACAAAATATTTTAAATTACATTAATTTTTATTAACACAATAAAAATAAAATCAATCAATGCAGTAACAACAATAAAATTTCCCACAACAACAATGTAAGAATAAAGGTTTATGCAGATAAAAATTATAGTTTAATATTTTGCAAAACAAATATAATAATAAAATAAATAACAAAAATAAATTTTAATTACTTAAACATTTAATTGAAACAAATTAACAAATTTCTAAGACAAATTTCTAATAATATTACTTATAACAATTACTAATGTTTCAGAAGTTTTTTTTCTGTAGTTACTTTGCAAGTGATCATTTTGATTTTTGAAAAAAACAAGATTTGATAAAACTTCATTAATATTAAAATTAGACAAAAATAAGAAAACAGCTAGTAGCAGTAGCTTAATGATGTGAAACTAAAAACAGTTTCGTTGAAAGAAAGCATAACAATATAAATGAAGACTTATAGTGCAAAACTATAACAAACTGACCAACTGATGAAAGAAAAACATAGTAATATAACAAATAAAATTTTGCGTTTATAATAGGTTTGGATATAAATAACTACAAAAATATCTCATTAAATTTGACATCGAATGAAGAAAATACAAGATCAAACAGTCATAGCAAACAGAGTGACTAGATATTATTTTCTTGATAAAAACTGTAATGTTTTAAAATTTTCCTTTTGTAAGCAATTGTTTTGCAAGTTTTGACTATTTATTTGACTTTATTATTTGACTTTGAAAGTTTTTATTGTATTATTTCGTGAAAAAAAGAAATATGGTTGGATAAATTAATGTATTTTACAAAAGAAAACAAATCATTATTGTATTTATTTTAAATTGTCATAACTTTTAAATATTCAAAGTTTTTACATATTTTCCAAAATTAAGATTTAGTTAAGGAAGTTCTTTAAATTTATGTTTCTTACTGAACAATTTTTACAGAGAGCTTCATTCTATTACAATTTTTAAAGGGAGCCTTATTTTAGTAACAGCTTTTACTTCAATATCATTAAGAGTGCTGTTGAAAGCCATTATATTTCACAGGAGATCTAAGGTCAGAAAAAGTGAGGTTTTTTGTGTTAGTTTTGTAATCATTCCCTAACATTCTTTTAACTTGAGAATAATTTAAATCAAAGAGCTCGGGTGCCAGATCAATTGAAACCAAGAGAAATCAAGTGCCAATTTTTTGAAGCATGTGATTTTGGGTGTTACTTTTTGAAACCAAGAGATATTGTGTCATTTTTTCACATGCAAACAACTATTTTTTTTAGTAAGAAAAAGTAGTTTAAAAGTAGTTTAAAAGTAATTTTCTGTTGAAAAGCTTGAGTATCTTTTCACTTTCTGTTATATTTTAATACCTAAAGCCAAGATATTTCATTTAGTTGGCAAACATCATATTGGGGAGATTGCAGCAAAACATGTAATGGTGGTTTAAAAAAAAGAAATGTACGTTGTGTACAGAGAGCTGGTAATGGAATCGAGTATGATGTTGATAATAGTTTATGTTCAGGAGTAAAGCCATCTGATACTGAAGGGTGTAATAAAGAATCTTGTCCTTCTGAATGGGTAGCACAACCATTTGGAGAGGTTTAAAGCATATTTATTATTTATAGTTTTAGATTTAGATTTTATTAAATAATTATTTTAAATAACTTTTTGTTTCTAAAGTGCTCTACTATATGTGGTCCTGGTGTACAAGTTCGTGATGTTCTTTGTCAGAAGTCTTTAAAAGATGGTTCTATTGTTACTCAAAAGTTAACTGATTGTAGAAAAGAAACAAAACCTCCTACTGAACAAAAATGTAATGTTCACAATCCATGTCCTGGAGATGGTAATCATTTTATATATTTAAAAAAAAAATTGTTTGTTACTCTCTAATAAATTACTAATGCATTATTTGGTTTCTAATCTAGCTGGCTGTGGTGGTATATATACTGATTCGCATGGAAATTTTTCATCTCCAGAGTATCCAAATAACTATCCAAACAATATGGAATGTGTTCATATTATACAAGTGGAGGAGGGAAAAGTCATTCATTTAGATTTTGAAGTGTATGTTTTATCTGATAATGTTTTGCTATATAAAAATTGTATGTTTAACAGAAGTTGTAAATTGAGTAAATACTAATTACTTAGAATGAAGATTGTAGCTCCTGATGATAAAGAATGCAAGAACGACTTTGTGAAGGTTATGGATGGAGACTGTGTTTCTCGTTTAGGGGAGTCTAAGTTTTGTGGGAAAACATTACCTCCTCCATTTGTTTCTACAACTAATCGACTTTGCATAAAGTTTTACTCGGATGATTCACAGAATGATGAAGGATTTATTGCTAAATACAAGGCCATAGACAAACCTGCTCAAAATACTGGTAGAAGATTTTTTTGTCTTTTGTTAATTTATGATGTTTTTTGTCTGATTTTTTATTATGTTGTCTTATTTTGAAATCCAATTATGTTTTGCTATATAACTGTTTAGCTGTCTGTTTCATAGCCTCTTTTATTTATCAAAGACTAGGCATTAACAAAGCTAGATTTAAAAAACAAAAAAAGAAGTTAAATTAAGAAGGCATGATGTTTTTATCCATAATTTTATAGTTTTTATCATTTATAATTTTGTATTAAAATTCTTTTGTAATTTTCTAAAGTTAAATAAAATTTGAGAATTTAGTTTGCTTAAAAAATCTCAAAGTTAAAGCGACCAGTAACTGTTTAGCTGTTGAGTGGCCAAGGTTAGTTACCAGTTAGTAAGTTAGAGCGACGAAAGTTAGAGGGTTATTTTCATAGTTAGAGCGGCTATGGGTTATTTTCATAGGCAATATCTTTTTTTTTTAAACTTCCAAATTTGTTGCTAAACTTATTATTTATTATTTATTGCTAAATGAAATGGTTGATAGTAAGAGTTTACAAAAACTTTTTGGTGAGTGCAAAATTGTTTCCGCTCAGAACAAGAATGTTTAGTTTTAAAAATTAGTTAGTAGATAGTTCTGTTTTAAGTAAATGGAATTTTTACCAGTTTTAAAAGAATTTTTATGCTCTATGCTAAATAGTTTTTCAATATCAAAATCTGATGTGCATGATTTTTGGATCAAATGGTTATTAATTTTTTTTTGATTCAAAAGTACAAATGCTTAAACTTTTTAATTACTAGTTAAGTTTATTAAAGTTTTTGATTAAGATTTATTATTGTTTATTAAAGTTTTTGATTAAGATTTATTATTTTTTATTAAAGTTTTTGATTAAGGTTTATTATTGTTTATTAAAGTTTTTGATTAGGGTTTGTTATTGTTTATTAAAGTTTTTGATTAGGGTTTATTATTGTTTAATCATGTTTTTGATTAGAGTTTATTATTGTTTATTAAATTGGAAAATAGCACCAAAACTTTGCAACTAAAAGTTTTTTATGAACTTTTTTCCCAATCCTTTGTAATGCTTTGTAAAGCTTTGACTCAAAATATTTAAGTGAACTAAGTTTTAACAGTTTTTGGGTGTTAAGTTTGACCAACATTTTTATAACATAAGTTTTGAGTTATAGATTTTGTTGTTGTTCTTTTTAAATAATTTATAGCTCTATTTCTTTATTTTAATTTTTAGTAACATACTAGTATTATAATAACTTCTTATATATATATACTTAATTTTTTTAGTAGTAGTATATACAATATTTAAATAGTTTCTACACTTATCCATCGTGATGGATTTCTGTTGTCATTTGAGCTGATTCTTCTAATGGTGATGTCGTTTCTCTTTTAGACAAGGCTCTCTGTACCTTTATTGTAATGCTGCATCTCTTTTTCTATCATTAAACAACACTACTTTTCAAGAGAGATCATCATCTTGTGTTACACTGACCAGAACACAATCTTATGTGACATATTTGGTAAAGTTGCATCTTTTCATTGTAACTGTTCTTTTCTGTTCGTAAGGTTTATTTATCTAATTTTTTCCTAAAGATCAATTTTTTGGAATTCTCTTTTAACATCCTGTTTATTGGACTCTACAAAACAGTTGACTTCTTTCATTTCAAAGTTGACTTCTTTCATGTCAAAGTTGACTTCTTTCATTTCAAAGTTGACTTCTTTCATGTCAAAGTTGACTTCTGTCAACTGTTTTGTACTTAAACTCTTTAACATTTTAGTAATTTGCCACAATTTAAACTAGTGTTTAAAGAATTACTTCTTTACTACAATTATGGTCAATATATATTTTAGCTTGTTTTAGTCTCATCACACAATGCTAAATGATCAACCGACTGACTAAAAATCAAGACCTAGTTAATCACTATATACTGCATTACTGCCCTGTAAATTATATTTCTCCTCTGACTCGGATATTTGCTCCATCTGTATTTCCTATAAATCAATAAAAGTTACTTTCAGTTAAAATTATGCTTAGTTACACACAATGATCACAAATATCATTATTTAGATACTGATAATAAACACATAAATAAAATGAGTTCTTACCTTCTTACCTTAGTGACCCTTTACTTTAATGATTTTTTTCCAGTCCAATGTTTTTTCAGTAATCAGCTTGAGAAAACAAAAAATGTAAAAAAAGATGTACATCTATCTACAGGGTTCTTAAAGCTGTCAAATAAGAATTAGTAAAAATTTATGTTTAAAATTTCCATTAAAATAAGGTCCACATATTAATAAATGTTAAACAATAATTACAAAAATAATTTATTTGTAATCTGTAATATTATCTGTAATCTTTTTATTATCTGTAAAAATCAACTGTTTCAAAATATTAATCTTTATATTAAAATCAAAAGCATTAAATTTTTAACTTTTTTAGCAAGAAAAATATGTTTTATACATTATACATTATTTTATATACTAAGGTCATTAGAAAAGTTCATAGAATGTCATCTATAAAGTTGCAATATGACAGGAAATAATTATTTATTTACATATCACCTTAAGTTGTTTTTAATTATAAATATTTTAAATAGTTGTTAAAATTTTTGGTTGTGTATTTAAAAAGTTGATTAATTTTTATTAAACAAATTTAGAAGAAAAATTGAAAAAATTAAATATTGAGCTTATATTAAAAACTGTGCTCTACTTGGAGTTTCAGCACAAGCCATAACCGATGAATTAGTATTAGTTCATGATGACTAAGCATTTTAATATACTGAAGTCGCTAATGATGACCAATGATAATATAGTGCAGTTGAAAATTATCCCTGCTTAAGGCACCCTAAAACGATGTATACAGCTTAGAATATTGAATGTATGTGTGCTGTTATTGAAGAAAACCCTCATGCAACACATGATATAATTGAAGCCCTGTCATTGGTTAATCATTTTATAATCAATGAAATTATTCCCAACACTCTTAAAAAAAAAATAGCATCCTGTTGAATTCCCAATGAGAAAACAAATTGAAATTGTAAGAATAGAGTTCAGGCATGTAAGGAAAATTTATCCTATTCAGAATTGGCCCATGACAACTATGTGATACTATAACAGAAGATGAGTTGTGATTTTATTTGAACAAGTTGTAAAAACATCAGCTAATGCTTGTTAAGTTGGCAAAGGTAAAAATCTAAAAATTATAGTATGGTGCAACAGGTTTGAGCTAAAAAAAATGTTCAACAACTCTCAAACGACGAGGAGCAATCACTCTTGATTAATGACCACTGAAATAATATTTAGTTGCAAAAAACTGGCCAGACTTTTTAATCGTTTAGTTGAGAATATTTCAAAAAGCAAAAAAAAAATGCGCTAAAGACTAACTGAATCGATGAGTGACAATTAAAAAAATAAATAAAATTAGGAAAATAAAATATCTTTTAATATGAAAAAATTTAAACCAAAATAAATTACGTTTAGAACAAATATTTTCAAAACATTGCTCTTTTATAATCTTTTTATAAAATTAGGCGATGTTTTTTATATTAAGTAACATCTTACGATTGTTTAAAAAGGAAATAAATGTTCTTTATTTAACAAAGAGTGCAATATAATTTTTATTTAATATACTCGTGTCTTATTTCCAGTGCTAGATTAAGGAGGGTTGGGGTTAGAAGGGGCTATAAAATTTTATTGGCAATTTTAGGGCTCAAAAAAGTCAAGAAGACCTCTTTGTTTAGTCATTTTTACATACACATACAAAGGCATCCAAAATAAAAATAGCTGCCGGCCCCAAAAAGTCTAACAAGATTCTAATAAAACTAGCGCAAGTTTTAGTTCTATTAGAATTATTTTATAAATAAAAAAGTTAATTTTTTTAATACCTATTTTATGTTTCGCGTAGTTTGAAAAGTTGAACATATTTAAAACAGTTCTTCTTAGTAAGATGAACAAATAAAATAATTAAATCATTGAATTACTATAGAAATTAAATTAACTATATAGAAATCAACTAAAAAGATTAAATATACTTTATGACGAGGAAGCAAAACTGCTTCACAATATTGCTGATGATGTTTAGTGAGTATGCTTTTTAATTTTAATTAGTATTTAAAGCAGAAAAAAGTATAACGAGTTTTTAAGAATGGCAACTGAAGCGAAAATTATTAGAGTTAGTAAACCAATATCTAAAAACTTTAAACCTGATAACTTGCTATATATATTTGTGTTCTGTCGTGACCTCAGGCACGTTGCTTGTTCATCTGCGAGTTACTTAGTATGCATTGTTTGTGTTTAATAACCAGTTTGTGTTTTGTAAGTCTTTGTTTACAAATTAAATCATAAAAATTGCTTCAAAAGATTACATTATGATAAAAAACAGATACACAAAGTTACATTTATATAAAAAATACATACTTTTTAAATAAAAAATAAGAATATACTAAAATAAGAATATACTAATAAAATCTATAACTAATAATAAACTTTCAGAATTTTGACAATTTAAAAAATATATGTTATAAAACATTTATTTTTGTAAACAAATAATAATAGTTTAAAAAATTTGCGGCTTTGCAGATGTGGCTCCCAGAATGAGCCATAATATTGATAATATATTCTTAAAACAATTTATGCTAGAAATCTAAATTTATGCTAGTATTAGTTTGTTCAAAAATTTGGCAGTTTTTTAGTGTTCACAAATATTCATTTTATTCTTCCACATTAAGATGTTTTGAGAACATTCAAGTTTATTACGTTTCCATGTATGTCCATAAAAAAAAATTTTTTTGTTACGTATATAAACTTAAATGTTCTCAAAACGACTAAAAAACCTGGCCATTTTTTCACAACTAAATATAATTTCCGTGGTCAGTATTTGAGAGCAACTGCTCCTGCTTCCCAACCAAGCCTGGTAATCATTATTAGTCAATACTATGTAAGAAAATGTTTGAAATTTGTTATACAAAAAAAAAAAAACAAGCAAAGACCTGTAATAGCCACTTTGAATTTTAAATTTCTCTCTTATAATGCTTGACCTCATGTTACTCAAATGTCAAAAATTATCTTAACCAAGCCAGAATCACATTAATTTGCTAATGTATTTAGATCTCTGTATTTAGGTCCATTTAATTTTTGGCTATTCGGTTTAATAAAAAAATACTTGATGACTATACTGACGTTGAAAGACAAAAAAAAACACTTAACCAAGCTACTTCAAAGTGTACCCAAAGTGTAATCAAGCTACTTCAAAGTGTACCCAAAGTGTAACCAAGCTACTTCAAAGTGTACCCAAAGAAGAGTATAAAAAAACATTTAATAAATGACTTGAAGTAACTTTTATAGATAAAGATGAAAGTTATTTTTATCATTTAATAAAATAAAGTAATAAAAATTCTTTTATTTTTATATTGGCTTCTAGAAACTTTTCTAACAACCTAAGTTGTATATAATTTAATAATTATTTGTTTTCTAAATTTTATACAAATGTTTATGTTATGTTATACAAATGACTTGAAGCAACTTTTATAGATAAAGATGAAAATTATTTTTAAATTATTTTTATAGATAAAGATGAAAATTAGTTTTTTGAAAATAGTTTTATAGAAGAATTAAACTTTGATTATTAAATTAAATACGAAAAAAAAATATTTAAAATTTAGGTTTTGAAAATATTTAGATATATGTTGAAATTTTTTTTTATTTAGATTTATGTGGATATAACTACACAGCTCCTGCTGGTCTTATTTCATCTCCTAATTATCCTGAATATTATCCACCAAATGAAGACTGTAACATTACTATTATTACAGAGGAGAAACCTATTAGAATTACTTTTCATGCTTTTGATGTTGGCACAGAAGAGTAAGTCTTAAAATTAAAAATAATTTATTTTTAAATTTGATACAAAGTTAAACTCAAAGCAGATATAATTGAAATTAATTAAAACAAAGTAAACATCTTTAATAAAACAAAGTGAACACATTAAAACTCTACTATAACTCTGTGGACACATTAAAACTCTACAATAACTCTGTGGGCAAATAAATCTCATAAACATTTCAAAAGATTCGATTTATAAACTATTACATTTAAAAAAATGTACTTTTGGAATGTCAAAAGCATTTATGAAATTTGCTTTTAACAGATAATATTTAAAAGACAAAGCTCAGATACCTGAAGATGTCAACTGTTACATAATGGTTGCTGTTACATAATGGAATCATTAAAAAAAGTCAAAAATTACATATATTTAGAATGTTTAAGGCTAATTTTGGAGGCTTTGTGTCTGAAATGTAAGTGATTAATACAAAAAATTTTAAAATTCACGTTTTATTGTTGATGAATTAATTGATATTATAAAGTTCCCTCTTAACTGGTAATAACTCATATTATTTTAATGACCAGACTTATATTGATATTTAAATGACCAGACTTAGAAACCTAAAGCTGTCAATCATTATGACAAAACCAAATATAAGACAAAAAATTTTTTTGGCCATTTTACCACAAAGTATGAGTAAAATCCATGTTAAAAGTAGTTTGGTTTTCAACAAAAAAGTCAACAAGTGAAGATGTTCCCTCGGAATTGATTATCATTAAAATAAAATGCTGTTTAATTACTACTGAAACTATTAAATGAATGCTGCATTTATTAACAATAAATGCAGCATCAAATGCTGCGACAAATGATACTATTAATTTTAACTCAAAGTTATATACTTGCATTTGACTCAAACTCAAATCAATTGTCTAATAATCAAGCAAAAGAAATTATTATAGTAATCGGCTCATTTACATTCATTACATTTATAAAACTAAATTTCTTGAGAATTTTAAAAATTGCTTCCCTATTATTACTAGAAATATTATTGTGCATAAATTTCAAAAATTATTTTTTCATAAATAATCATACAAAAATGACAAGAAACAACCATCTGCTATTGTACCCACCAAAAGTCAAACTTGAATTTTCAAAATTAAATTTTCATTAGTTTCATTCAGAGATTTTCAATGATTTCCTGATTAGAAACTTAAATAATGAAAGTGGTTTTAAAGCTTTGCGCGGTTTTAAAGTTTTGCTAAAGAAACATTGTTTATTAGAAACTATAATAATGAAAGTGGTTTTCAAAGTTTTGTTAAAGAATTAATTATAAAAGATTTTGTACTTTTAACTTTTAATATTTTTTTTCCCTATTACTATATAACATTCAATAATAGCAGTTTGAACTGAAATGTATATGAATTTATGATAAATTTCCTGTATAAATATTTTATAATAAAAATAATGTGTAAAGAAAATATGACACTATGAATAAACTTTTTGATATCACTAAAGTTGATAGTCAATGATTATTCATTAAAGATAAGAGTAGTGCCACCAAATAACAAAATTTATGTATATAAGGCTATAGATTATAAGGAGACTGTAGACTATAAGAAAGTAATTTTGTTGATTTAAACTAAATTCTTACATCTTAATAAGTTTTTATTTCAGTTCTACATTCATTTTTTTTATTTTTAATTTATTTTTAAGCAATTTTTATTTTATTATTAAGTTAATTAAATTTGATTCCGTTTTTTTTTTAGTTGTTCAAGTGACTATATTTTCTTAAGTGGAGGAGATGAAAAAAAAAAGTATTGCGGGCAAAAAGTTCCACCTCTTTATACATCAACAGATAATACTTTGTTTATTCGTTTTGTATCAAGTAGTCATTTAACTGCTATGAAACCTGGATTTGTTGCAACGTATACTTCTGGAAATCCTCCAGGTAAGTGCTTCTTAATATTTTTTTATTTTTCAAATGCTGATGTAAAAACAAAAAAGTTGTAAACTTATTGCAAAATAAATTTAGTTAAACAAAGTTAGAGACAAAATTTTAAAATTTATTATTTTTATGTTTTGATATATTTAAACTCAAAGTAATTATGATTTTTTTTGAATTGAAAGTTGTTAAAAGTTTTGATTTTTTATATTTTATAGATAACTTCTTAAAACACTGATTTTTTTTTTAATGTTTTGATACTGTTTTTACATTCCAGATATAAAATACCATCATCGTACTTACCAGATATAAAGTACCATCTAATTTTTTGCAGTTGTAAGTTATGGTTCTAGGAAAATGACTAAAGGAGTCTATTAAATGTTTTTCATATCTATGTAAAGTTTTGTATCCATATTCAATGTCTAAAAAGTTATCATCACAAATTTTCAGATATGCGTAAAACTACTGTTGCTTAGGGACTGATATCTGCCTATTCATGACACTATGGTACTATATTTGACTGGCATATTATGCCATGTAGTATTTTTTCTTGTTTGTTGTGACAATGACAATAGAATAAAGTACAGACTTAAGTAAAAAATATTTTTGTGTTGTATGTTACATGCTGTTATAACATCAAATGTTGGCTTTGGAAAAAATTGTTTTTATAAACTTTAAACTTCATTTTAGTAATATTTTTTAAGCATTCAACCAAACAACCATAATTAAAAACTTTTAAAACATACCAACTTTCAAACCTACCAAACAACCACAATTAAAAACTTTTAAAACATACCAACTTTCAAACATACCAAATAACCATAATTAAAAACTTTAAAAAAAAAGTTATTTCAAGATAAAAGTTTAAAGACAAAAACTTTTGTATTTGACTTTGAACATCTATATTCTTACAGTCCCACGCTGATTGTATACAGGATAAGTAGATGTGTCAAAGCAATGCACAAAATTTGTTGATAACATATTGTAATTGGGGGGTTGATGGAAGTCTGGTGAAGAAGATGGAAGTCTGGTAATTAATTGTAATTGGTGTCCAAACAATATATTAGATCATTAGCAGAGTCACATCTTCATAGCTCCACTACTCTTCATCCATTTTATAAATGAATTGTGGAATGAATTTTATCAATGATCTGCAGAGAGCTCTGATTTCTCTCAACAGCTGTAAAAATATTAGAATATTAACAGTGCTATAGTAATAATAATATTAAGATACTATAGTAATAATAATAATAATTACTATATTATATATTTTATAGTTTATTACTGTAGTAATATATATATATATATATATATATATATATATATATATATATATATATATATATATATATATATATATATATATATATATATATATATATATATATATATATATATATATATATATATATATATATATATATATATATATAGTAATATACTATAGTAAATACTTATGTTTATAACTAAACATAAAGATACTATAATAATTACTATATTATATATTTTATAGTTTATTACTATAGTAATATATGTATTTATGTTTATTACAATAGTCATAAACATAAAAAACCATCAACTAATTATTTCAAGTTGAATTATTTTAAATAACTTATTATCTATTATTATTTTCTTCTATTTTATCATCTTATCTTTTGCAAAATTCACCAGACCTCCTTGCTCTTTGTGAAACTATTTTGAATTTAGCTGTTTTATCTTCAGATCTTAGTATTGATAGCAATCTTTTGATTCCTTAAGTCTCCAAAAGTCACATATACGAGGTATCAAATCACTTATTTGTTGTGAAATTTGTTTTGAATCATCTGGCTATTCGTTTGTGTGCATCTATTAATCTCTTTGTTGTGTGTTGAATGCTGTTGTCACATTTGGGCTGGTTCTTCTAATTATGTTCATTTTTTCTAGACAAGGTCCATAAACATATTGTAAATATATTTTTTCTAGGTGCCAAATAAGAAAAAATACATTTACAATATGTTTATGAGCCTTGAGTCTCTGCCCCATTGGGGTAAGGTGTGATCTTTTTTTCTATTTTACTAGCATGGCTGCTACTCAAAATATTTATAATCTCTTGTTCCATCAATCAAAATTCAATATTGCATGATTCGTTTTTCAGCATAGTTGCATTCTTTTACTGTATTTGTTCCCTTATGTCGTAAAAACTTTTGTTCATCTAGTTTTTTTTCCTTGTACATCAATGCTTAGGTTACCTTTTTCTTCTTTATGTTTTTCTGAATCATCCAATTTAGAGTTTTTAAGTTTTCTATCAACCACTTTTTGGCTCTTTAACTTTATTTGCTGAGGATGAATTACTTAAAAAAATTTGTTTTTTGATTTTAAATTCATTCTTTTTATTTAGATAAGACAAGTGATTCCCGTCACCAGATCCCTGACAAATCAAGTGATATTAGTAACCAAAATATTGACAAAGTAAGCATTACTGAGGGGGTTGTTTTACCCAGTGAAAATAATGCAATCAAAAATGAAAGTAATAAAATACCAGAAGCAAAAGAAGCCCAAATGACCTTGAAAGAAGTTCAAAATACTATTGAAGAAGCTAGTGAAGAACGAAAAAGTATAGATCTTTCTTTATTTAATTTTAGTTAATTTTTTTTAATTGCAAATAATTTAAAATCATTAAAATGAAAATAAAGTTAAACTTTTTTCTTTTCTTAATTTGTTATGGAAATTATTTCTAGGTATGATTTATCCTTCTCCAGATGCATCAACTGCTACTTCATCAACTCCTGTTAGTTCATACTTAACTTCTGATCAATATGCTCCTCTAAATAGTGCACATGAAAGTCAAGCTTCTTTACAACCAAATAATATTCCATTTACATTTTCTAGCTCAAGCTCTAATGATGAAAGTAAGTTTCTGTAAAGCTAGACTTTTTTTAATTTTTTTAAATTTCTAATTTGTAAATTAAAATCAACTTTTATATAGTTTCTAAAGAAATCATGCCAAATGATAATAAACAAGGTAGATCAATTTTTTTAAAGTATTTTTAATTATAAAATGATTGTAATTTATCTCCAAATTAAAATGTATAGAATGTTTTCCAGAGAAAACCTTACTATTTATTTTGGTTCAATAATTTATGTAAACTAGTTGAAATTGAATCGTTTATCACCCTGTAATTATTTGCATTTTAAAAACTATAAACTTTTTAAATAGAATTATCACTTGTTAAAAAGCAAAAGTTATCTAGCATTCCAATTGAGGGTTAGTACTTTTTTTGTTTTTTAAAGCTTGTTTTTTATAATTTATAGTTTTCTTAAATAAATTAAAATTGTTTGTGTCCAAAATACAATAAAATTATTTTTTAAATTTATAGAAGATACTCTGTCCTGGATTCCTGAACCAGGTATTTATTTTTAATTAAAAAAAAACAGACAGTATACATAAGTTTGTTTACTTTTATTATGTTTTATTATTAACATCAGCTTTTAATTTTTTTAACTACCCCACTGAAGATAAAATTTGTTTTTTGTACTTTTATAAACTTTTTAAAAGCTTTATAATGTTCTTATTTTAAAAAAGTTGATTGTTTGAACAAAATAAGTAAAACTCTGAAATAAAGTATTGCATAATTATGCTTCTCAACAGTATCTCATCTATTTTTAATTGTATTTAATCATTGTATCAATTATACTTAAACTTTATGGTACAACAGTTGATACAACATTATTTATTTTAATACAACATTGTTAGCATATGAATGTATAAGTAAATGTTAAAAATTAGTATATGATTAAAACAATTACTTTAATAAACTTTCATATTTATTAGCCAATAATGATGTATTAGAATATTTATACATATTTACCTTTATTCAAAGTTTATTTAAATTATAAATAGTAAAAGTTTTAAAGAGAACAATACTACTAAAATCATTATAAATTTATTTTTAAAATGTTTTTAAAATTTTGATTATGGGATAGAAATTGAATCCAACATTTATATATAGAACTGAACATTAACATATAGAACAACTGAGTTATTTTTCAATATTTAAAAAAAATGAGTACAAACACAATTTTTTTATATGAGTGTGTTTAAGTTTCATCCTAATAGCAATCGTTGGCCATAAATTACAAAATTAAAAAATGAATGTTAATACTACAATTAGAATTATGGTGGTATGAGTACTACAATTAGAATTATGAATTTTAATAACTCTATGGAAACAAAAGTTGGCATGGAAATAATTCAGGATTAATCTCCAGTATCAAATTTGAAATTGAAATTTGCTATTGTACTGTACTTGCTATTGTACTAATGTTGCTATTGTACTAATGATTAATAAAATTTCGATATTAATTAAATGTTAATATAAAAATGGCAATTTATTGAAGTATTTTCTTTTTTGTTTTTAGTTATAAATAAGTTTCATTATTATTGTTTAAAACAACACCATATTGAATGATATAAATACTCCACTAGTCGAGCACTCTACTCAAAGTTGTCCACAAGATGGAGATATTAAACTTACAATTATACTCAATTAAAAATGTCTCTATACCATCTAAGAAAGAGTTTTTATTGGAATTAGTAGCAAGACTGAAATATTTATAAGTAGAATGAAGTGGAATGGTGGTGTCTTGCTGAAATTGTTTTTATCTGGAAATAGATGTGTTAATCTTGGTTTTAAGTGATTAACTAAATTATAATGGTAACTTATGTTGGTTCAAGGTTCCATGAAATTATAATAGTACTTATGTTGGTCCATGATTCCATGAACTCTGTGTAGAATTCATACTCCATGAGGAACAAATGCACCCCCAAACCATGATATTTTTATCATGTTTAGCTGTGGCACGTGCACACTTTGGATTATATGGCTCACTTTTTTTTTCAAGTTCTTTCTTGATTACCATATTGTAGTATGAAAGGTGACTTAACTGTCCATATCGCACATAAATCTAAAGTCCTATTTAAGTGTTCTCTGCACTATTTTAGTCTCTTGACACAATTTTTCTTGTTTATAAAAAGGGTTTTTTTTGTTTGGCATCCTGAAGTAAACTCTTGACCTACTTTTACTCTTGCAACAAATGTATTGTTACATAAGTGCTCAAGGTTTGAATTTTACTTTATTTGACTCACTGATATCCTACATCACTTCCCTCCCACTTAAATGATCTTCTCTTTCTGTAGTTTTTTTTTTATCATCCAACCCATCATCATCATCCAACGCATCATCCTGCTTTTTGAGAAAAAAATCTAGACACAATACTATGAACTGCAGATCAAACTTCTTTGAAAATATTATGCAAAGACCATTTACACTTGAATTATTCCACCTTTTAGCTGTCTGAAACATTTTTTTTTTTTAAATTGGTAAATATGAGTTTTAACTGATAAGCAAATGATATAATTAAAAATAAATGCTAAAATACTTGAAGTATGAATGTCTCATACCTAACTAATAATTAATTTTTTCCATTTAAATATATTTTTCTTCCATATACAAAATTACTAAAGAATTTGATTTTTAAAAAATAATATAAAATTTTTTGATTTATGAAGGTATGAAAAGTTAAAAACAACTTTAAATTACAAATAAACAATAAAATTAAATAAAAATTTAATTTAATTTATGTAAAGTTTAAATTAATGTATGTTGCGTATGTGTCATGATTGAGATACTTATGTTATTAATATGCTTAGGTAATTATTCTTAATAAGCTGTGGGTGTTCTGAAAAAAATTATGGTCTGAAACTTAATTAAGAAAAAATTTAATTAAACAGTTCTGCTACTCCAGTAGTGTTGTGGAGGCAAAAAAAAAAAAAAAAGAAGCTTGTAGCTAGAAAAAACTTTCAATTTTATTATAACAATTAAGTCTTTTAAGCTATATTTATTTTTTACTATAAATATATATGGCCAGATTAAAAAAATTGAAAATATATTATGTTAAAAGGCAGATTTAAACCCTTGCAAAACTGCATTGATGACAGCACATTAAATCACTGATCTATCAAAAGATCTTTCTAATTCTAAGTCCAGTTTTATTGCATAGGAATAAAGTTGCACTCATATATAAACAATATATATAAATATATATTTTATATGCAAAATCCACTTTTATTATGTTTTATACAGGACTATGTCTAATGTAAGAAAACCTTTCTAATAATTAAAAGTCTTTTTTGCTCAAGCTGTTTTGTTTTGAATTTTTCTATTTATGTTATTGTATTTTTAAAAATTGACAAGATTGAAAAAACACAAAACATATTGTCTCATCCAAGTGGAAAATTTGAAACTTTAATTTTAGATTTGCCCCTCTCCAAAAATGTTTTGCGTATATGACATCACTTTTTGGCAAAAAACTAAAAAAAACAAGAAATTATTTAAATTTTCAAGGTAAATTCCTTTTATTAAAAATGTATGTAATATATTTTTATGGGATGTATTCTAATAAATACAAATATAGTAATTGCTATGCTGTTTCTTTAAAACTATTTATTTATTACTATTGTAATAAATATAAACTTTATCCATGAAATGAAATATCTTTACAAGTTTTATATCTTTTTGTGCAATAGTATGTACTATGATTAACATTAAACAAAAAATGAAAAAGCAAACTTGATGTATATAAGTTTTTTTTTGCCACAAACTGATGTCACTGCACAAAATTGTTGTCTTAACTTTTAGGTTAGTGTTTTATAGATAAGGTTGCATCTATAGTTTTTAATGGTCTAAGATCTTCTTAGTTCTACCATTTGAATAGCATTATGTACAAACGTCTGTAAGTGTAAACATCTTTAGCATATGTTGAGTTTGCAGGCATTATATGGAATACTAGAATATAATAAATCTATAAATAAGAAAACTTGAAAATTTATATTTTTTGCTGTAAATATATAAGCAGGATTGAAAAGATTTCAAATTCTGTTACGCAAAAGGAGGTTTTAAACCCCTCGAAATGATACTGATGATAGTACAATAAACCACTGAGCTATCGATGATATGCATTTAGGAGAAAAAACAAACCTTATTATAAATGGTTGGTGTTGAATAGATTTACAAAGACCCGTATTTTTACGGGTCTGGTCAGCTAGCTTTTTATTATTTTGGTAGCTTTATCTAAAACATCCATGCTGATAGATACAGGCTTTTAATTATGATATAGTTATCTACAATAATAAAATAATAATAGCGCTATCTAAAAAGTGGTAGTAAACTGGCAATATGTATTTACACAGTGCTGTAGCATAACTGTGGTCACATAGCAGCTGTGAATTGTCATTATGTAGTAGCTAGAAACAAAGCAACAATATGTAATATCATTTGTTGTTAAGTTTTAGTTAGCTATATACATACTATTTGTAACTATCAATATAATGTAATAATATTGCTAGCTGCACAGCTGCTATATGTAACTATCAACTAGCTACAAATTTGTTGTTATGTTGTAGCTAACTACCATGTTGTGATATGCAGCTCATAATATATCGTAGTTATATTGATTGCAACAAAGCTGCAGTATCTAGATAACTGCATGTCATATTAAAATCGCAATGTTACAAGTTTAATTATCATAAAAATACTAGATCTAATACTAAATATCAAATGTAAGAATAAAAAATTGCTCAAAAATTGCTATAAAGCTACCTAATTGCTTGCTAGTCACCAGCTCATTTCTCACCAGGGTGAATAACCCTAGGTAGTCACCAGCTCATTCCTCACTGGGATATATAACCCTTGCTAGTCACTAATTCATTTCCCACCAGGGTATATAAAAATAATTGACTTGTGAGTAATAGAAGCATTCATTTTCAAAAAATAGTACTTTTAAGAAAATCCATCTGAAACATAATTAATAAAGTGCAGATTTAATTCCCACTTTAGTTATGGGTTAAAAAAAATAATTGTTGTATAAAGCAGATTGTTCTTAGTTTAATGAAAAAAATTGAGTGTCAATTTTATCCATTTTTAGTTATTTGTTTTTTTTGGCAGTATCAACACCAAAATTCTTACAATTACAATTTTTATTAGTTTACTATTTTATTCGTTTATTTTTTTATGACTATTTTGAATTCATCTAAGATATAACGTTAATGCATTTTAAATGCATTAACGTCATATTTTAGATTAATTTAAATTAAAATTAAAAATTAATTAAAAAACTAAAAAAGTGATTATAACTTACAAAAAAAGTGATTATAACTTACAAAAAAAGTAATAACTTACAAAAAAAATGGTTATAACTTACAAAAAAAGTGATAACAGCTTACAAAAAAGTGCAGTTTTAGTCTCTCTTTAAAAAAAACTAAAATTGTACTTTTTCAGTAGTAAAAGCTTAATAGTGGATTTTATCCCAAAAACCAAAATCATTAAAAAAGGAAAAAAAGAATAAATAAAAAATAAATAACCGAAAGAATACATAATAACTTTAGTCTAAAAAGATTTTTATATTTCTAAAATACTGAAATTTATAAAATTTATTTTAAAACAAAAATTGTGAATATAGCAAACAATTTTTTTTATTATTATTGTTTCTTATAATTTTTTTAGATGATTCTTATCGATTTGCTACCAGAACCTCTAAAGATATTCAAGTTAATCAAGTTGAAAGCCCTGTGACACCAGTATATGTTTCAAGCTTAGATAAAAAATCTTCTTTGTTAAACCAAGAAAAAGGGTTTTCAAAAAAATCGCAGTATCCTAATCCAATTATCCCGAGACCTCAGTTTATTTTGAAAGCTAACCAACATCATGAAGATGTTAAAAAGTCCGTTATTTCACGAGGATTGCAGAATTATGAGCATAACCTTGACGGAAAAAATGGTTTGCTACTTTTTTAACATTTGTTAGTTTATAAATGTTACATTTTACGTTATAGTATTAAATATAGTTTTGTATAATATTAAATATAGTATAATATTATATTGCATTATTATAGTAAATTAAGTTTCACATTATATTGCACTATAAAACACGATTAAGCGCTAAAATGCAACATAATTAAGATGAATATTTTGCATAGCACTTTTTTCAAGTTAATGACTGGAGAAGATTTTTTTCTTTTTAGGAGAATGTCCTCATCCTTCTCAACTTCGATGTATTCGTTTACTTCTTTCATATCCCTGCAATACTGATGAAAATTGTGGATTCGGTTTTGCTTGTTGCACAACTTCTTGCGAGTTTAGTATGCGTATGTGCACTCCCAAAGGTTTTTGATTTTTATAATTTAATTTTTTTAGATATTTTAAAAAAGATGCGGTTTAATTATTATTATTATTTTTTAATATTTTGTTATTGAAATATTTTGAACACTATTTTAGGTATGATAAAAAATTATTGAAGTCATTTTTTTAATAATAATAATTTAAATAATTTTTCAAACTTCTTTTTTGTAGTAACACGATCGTGTCCGTTGCGTGATCCATTTTATTATCCTCAGATACAATGTATTTCGGAGTTAGATTGTCCTGATAATGGTCCATGCTGTTTGGATATGAGCAAAAAGAGGTACTGCAGACGTTCATTACCTGAACCTAAAGATAATTTTATTGACTGACACGCATTTCTTATTTCTTTCATAAAGGGGTTTCGCTTAAATATTTTTTATAATATATTTGTGTATAGTTGACGACAGGGGTATATTTATTCTCTCTTGAAATCTTTTTAGAAATCTTTTAACTTTTGAGTTTCGTTTAATTTATTACTCATGATTTTTTATTTTATTTTTTACCTGTACATAATCTTATATTATGCATTTTTACATTGATGCATAGACATATATTTTTGATAGCAAAAACAATATAAAAATATATATTTGTAAAACTAAGTTTTTGTTTTGAAAATTGTAAAATTTATAGAATATAAACTGTTGATGAAAGTTTTTTTGCGACCTCAACAGTTCGCGAAGGACAGTTCGTAAAACAATTAAACAGTTCAATTTCTCATGACTATTATCACAAATAATTCTCATATTCTTTCGGCGCATAATATTTCCAAACTTATTACGAATACTTTTGAATAAGATAGTTGCGGATCGTCGGGGATAGTGGTATGATGGGCGGTAAAGCGACGATCAACTTTAGAATGCTTACTATGACAATTGCCTACATTTTTATAACCGGATAAACTATACCTTAAATAAAAAAATGATTATTTATTAGCCACGAACTAGCCGTTCCCACAATAGCTATATATTTCCCATTTCGCAATAGCCAAAATGACTTCTGCAAATGTTTTTTATATTCTAGACAAATAAAATCTTATGTTATTATAAAAACATGGCTGTTACTAACGACGTAATATACCTTACTAAAGAAATTTATATTTAAGGTCACACATCACACTTAAATTGTTTTATTAGAAAAATATTTTTGCGATATGAAATGAACAAAACACTTGTTATTAGTTGATTAATCCTTATTTTACCTTGTTGTAAATAACAAACTTTTTAAACTAAAGAAATACTTTAAAGATAATTAATAAAGTTGTTTAAATTCAAAAAAATATTTTAGATAAATATATATCAAACCACTACTTTGAAACGCAAGTCTAAATATCAATTTTATTTAAAACTATTATTTGTCTATGATTATCAGCAAAAAGTGGTGGCAAAGCCATTCGCGATATAACAGTGTATTACACTCATTTTATTAAAATCAGCAGCTGTTGAAAAAGATAAAAACTGTAAGCTTAATATTTTACACAGTCTACTTTTTATTCCGTATGCACTTTGGCTAAAATTTGTAACCATCTTTGCATTTCAAATTTTTTATAGTCATATCTTTTGAAAACCTAGAGATACTATGAAACTTAAGAATTATCGATAATTATAAGTGTAGTTGAGAATAGTAAAAAATTATTTTATCAACTTGTTTCTCTCACGTTTCAGGCAGAAAGGTGGGAGGGAGTAAAATTTGGTAGATTTTTTGTTCCCAGGCTCAATTAATTGCACTTTTTTGAAAATCATTCTTATTTGATATAAGTTTAAGCATATAAATGTTTAGAGTTTGCTTTATGTCTTGAAGTCAGCCATCTCAATTTAGAACTTTACCTTTAATCTAGAAACTTTCTAACTTTTCTATAATAATTTCTATTAATTGTTTGAATTGTTTTAAGGTCTGGCATTACTTTTATAACAAATTTATTGTTATTCAAAGAACTTCTCAATTTAGCAATTTAGCTGTCTCAATTTAGTTGTTGATTAGCTGATTCAGTTTATCTATATTTTCTGAAACCTAACTGATTTTTAAAAAAATCTTATTTTCAAAATAGCTTGACAACTCCTTGTGAACAGCCATTTCTAAGGTTTTTTTAGTAGAGATAGTACAAGTTGAATAATAATAATACTAATAATAATAATAACAATAATAATAATAATCACAATAGCTATTCAGTGTTAAACAACTAATTTTTGATCAAACGTATTCAAAAAGGACTTTGAACAATTTATAACTTTCAATACTACTATAAAATTTAAATTGGACTATATTACATTTGAATCTGCCTTTTATGAATTTAACAATACTTCGTAGCTTTCTTTGTTCCGTTTAATGGCTCTCTAAGCATTGTTCCATTATATTTTGCGAAGTTTTAGTTATTTAAACTTCGCCGCAAATTTTTCTTTAGGGGGTGTGATACTTTTCATAAATATATATATATATAATTTTTTTTGTGTAAGGTGTTTTTTACTAAACCACTGCTATCAATAGTTTTTTTTACTTAGTGCAAGTTGTAATTTTTTTTATGACAATGTTTAGAGTTTTGTTTAAGTGCGTTTTCTCCCGCCAATAAAATTAACTGAAAATACTCTGTGGGTAGCAGTAGACATGATGTTATAATGTTATGATATGGCTGTTATTGCCCAGGTTTAAAATTATGAGAGCGCAGTGCTAAAGTTAATTTTTCTCAAATTTGTTGTTACCTAGTGAGGAACTGATTTAGACAACTTTTAATTAAAAAAATGCCAATTCACAAATCAACACTTGTGAGAATGTAGGCGTCATTAGATATTCGTAAACTAAAAATAGGTTTGAATAAGCGATTGCATTTAAGGAATATTTGTATAAACATCGTTCAAAGTTCTAAAAATTTCTTTCATTTTCATTTTTAGTAGCTTTTGTTGAAGTATTCAGCTCTTAAATCTGAAATTGATTTTTTTGGATCACCGTCACAAGTACTGTTTGCAAATTCACCTCGTAGTGTTTATGAGAGCCCATCAAAGTTTACAGCAACGATATGCAAATCAGACCGCAATTTGTCAGAACAAAATTAAATGGATTCTCTTGTATGTCATCAAATGCAAGTTCCCCTGCCATACATTTTTTTTGATGAAATCATTCTATACGCAATTTTATTTCAACCTCTTAATCAAGTTACCTAGCATCAATGAATGCATTTTTGCATAAATGAATTTAACTTTTTGTTTATTATTATTATTTTTTTAAGTTTTGTTTTTATATTATATTTTCTTAATCTAAAAAAAGACAGGAAAAAGTTTATTATACACAAAAAGTTTATTATAATTTTTATTATTTCAGTTTATTACAAGATAACGCTGAAATTATTTGATCAGTGAAAACCAGCTATTAAATCTGCTACGGTGTCATGAACAGGCATAACAGCAAGCCTTTTTACAAATGAAAAAACATCGCATGGTTTGCTCAAACTTCTGGTCCTATATTGGGTAACAGCACATATAGTGTAACTTCTAGCTTTATAGACAGTTTATATTTGTATAATGAGAAATCCATGAAAAAGAATGTTAATCCAACTAACAGATTGTAAAAAGATGTTTGCAACAGCAAACAGAATAATCATTCTTTTTGGTGGCAGCTTAAGACAAATACTACCCACTAAGAAATCTGAGAGTTGTTTAAATGGCTTCTAAAAATTGGTAGTGGAAAAAAACCTGTCAAGGAGGAAAACCTTTTTTAAAGATCTATTGAAATACCATATAAGTGCATTATTAGAGAACTACTGAACTGAAGGTGTTAGTCTATTCAAAAAGTGCAATTGTCTTAGAATGGAAATTTAAAAGATATTGTCTGTAGTTCTTGTTTTGATGACTCCACCATATTTTATGGTCAGGTCAGGTTTATCCTACTACTGGTAACATGTAACCCAGTATAATCTGCTTCATGTCCTGCTGCCTTGTAGAATACGCCTTTTTAGGCAAAGGCTAGGAGATGCCGACTCCAACATAAAAAACCCCCTGCCTTGAGGCTCTTGGTTGAGTAAAGGCTAGAGATGGTATCTCAATAATAATACTCATCTTGGGCTGATGTTAAATGCATCCGGCTGCTGTCTTGTAAAAGGCCTCCTAGGCAAAAACTTAAGCAGTAAACAGATTCTATCTGTTGACCAGCCTCGCACCCCTTCTTCATCCATTAAGCTGGCGCATATGTATTTTTAATATATTGTTTCCAGTTTAGGATGTTGAGTGATGAATCTTCTTGACTCGATGCATGGATTTTGCTCGTGTCTCTGTTTTTATGACTAGGAAACTCATTCTATTATCTCCTAATGAGGGTACAGATCTTAAACTCAGTTTTATGATTCTGAGGACGGCAGGATGGTCAGGTTTCCCGAACTCTGTGGTAGCTCTCAGAGAGGCTAATTCCATCAACAGCTGAAAAATATCAAAGTATTAACAGTGCCATGTTGCGCATGGATGGTGTCCCTGTTTGTACTTTTGGTGTGCATTGCCAGGCCACATTGGAGCCCTTTGTTACGGCTTAGGGTTTATTAATGGAAATGAGGCAATTGCTTGGGCTATAAAATAGTGTACTGAGTACTATCTATGTTTCGAGTCAAGTTCTTTAACAAATCTAAAAATGAATAAAGTAACAAAAACTATAAAACACAAAAAACCACAGTCATCACCAAGTTTGCTAAACCTATCATTCACTAATATTTGTGGTCTTCGGAGTAACTTTTCTTCTGTTGAATCTTATCTCTTGCAAAGTTCACCAGACCTACTTGCTCTTTGTGAGACTAATTTGAGTTCAGCTGTCTCATCTTGCCATCTTAATGTTGATGGTTGTCTTCCTTTAATTCGTAAAGACTCCAATAGTCGCATGCCTGGCCTAGGCATTTACATTCGTAAAAATTCACCCATTTGTCGGGAAACAAGGTTTGAATCCACAGACTACTCTTTTATGTGCTTTCGTTTAGCACCACTTCATTCTATCACCTTTCTCTTTGTTCTATATCGCTCTCCTTCATCTCAAGACTGCACTCTTCTTAAAGTTATTTCTGATCATATTGACCCAGCCATCTTTCTTTATCTATCAACCAAATATTGTTGTTGTTGGTGAATCTCAATCCCTAACTCAAAAAGTCAACTTTCCAACTTGCTTTCTAGACAACCCCAATCATTTACCTTGTCTACTCGACTTATGTCTTGTTTCTGATCCTAGTCAGTGCTCAGTTTCTCCACATTCATCCTTAGGTGCCTCTAATCACAGTTTGATCTCTCTAAAACTATTATCTCATTCTTCTTTATCATCAGAATCTCCCTATAATCGTACATCTTACAACTATCTTGAACCTGGCTGGGTCTTTCCGCGATTTTCTTTGTGATGGCCCTTGGGTAGAAATCTTGCGTCTTCCTGTTGAAAAAATATGCTTCTTACATACCTTCGTGGAGTCAGACTGGCTTAGAATCTTTTAATTCCCTCTCGATAATTCCAGCTCAAGCCTCACTCTTCTCCATAGTTTTCCTCACATTGTGCTGCTGTAATTGCCAATCGAAACCATTACTTCCATATCTATCAGCAAA